TCGGTGCGGCCTCGTGCTGGGAGCTGGGAACATGGAGCGTCCGGGCCTCAGACAGCGAGAGAAGGCGCCGCACCCCCACAGCACAGGTCCCAGAGCCCAGCCGAGGATGGAAACCCCACTCCCCACCCCGCTTGTGGGGGCCAACCAGCTGCCAGTTATCGGCTGTAGCTGAGCCTGCGTACAAGCCCCGAGCGCCCCAATTATGCTTCTGAGTAGAGCGCCCTCCTTCCTGGGGTCCCCGAGCTCCAAGCTGGGTCGGGTTTCCTGCAAAGCTGGCGAACGCTGCCTGTGCACCAGGCAGTCTTCCCCACAGCCCTCAGGCCCAGGGCTTTCTCCGGGAAGCTCAGCTGTGGCAGAGCCACAGTTCGGTCCAACGAGCTGGCCTCGGCCTCCCTCGAGGCTCCTGCCCACAGACCCCCAGGGACACGGGCACTGCCGCCCCCTGACCCCCAGCCCCAGGAGCACCCCGAGGAGCTTCCCCTAAGGCACTCCCGGAACTCTCGGACTCCCCCGGAACTGAACTTCTGGAGAACCCAGGCTCCTGAGCCTGTGGAGAGCAAGGGGGCTGGAGGGGCGAGTACCCCAGGCCCCCACGAGTCCTGGCCCTGTGCTCCCCCATCCTGTCGTCACGTCTGCCCTCTAAGGGAGCTGCCCACCCGGGGACTGACAGGGCCCCCAGCCCGTGGCCAGCTCCAACCCCCCCGCCCCCGTCCTGCCCTCCTGTGCAGACAGACAGCCCTGACAGCTGCAGGGACTGACGTCGGGGGTCCTCAGGGGCCAGAGCCTCACGGGAGAATCGGGGCGGGGCCGGGGGGGGAGGGTTGGACACGAGCCCGGCTGTGAGACTCTGAGGGGCTGGTGGGGAGGGCCGGGGCAGGACAGCAGTGAGAGCTGGGGGGTTTGAGCACGGAGCAGGAAGGCCCCGGGCTGCCTTCCCAAGGAGGTGGAGCCTGACCCAGGAGGAGCCGGAAGCAGCCCAGGCCTGGGTTGAGGGGAAAGGCAGACGTCTAAGGGGTCCTGCCCCACCCCGAGGCTGTCAGCACCCCCAGGACTTCGGCAAAGGCTGGAAACAGAGAGCTGGCAGTCAAGTCCCTGTCCCCAGTTAGGATGTTCCTGACACAGACCCTCAGGCCCCCGGCAGCCCTGGGGACACAGACCGTCTGGGCAGCATCGCTGGGTCTTGCTGTGAGGCAGGAGCAGAGGTCACCCGACCCTCGTGGCCGTGCCCCCTCCTAGACGAGCAGAGCTGCTCCTGCACCCCGGCACCCCCTACCCGCTTTGGAGATGTTCCCTGGGCTCTCCTCCCTCTGGGGCCCTGCAGATGCCTCCTGCAGGTGCCTCAGGCCAGGATCCCTCCTCCGCAGGTGACAGGTCACAGGAAGGACAGAGGGGACCTGGGCTTGCAGGGCACAGGTGGGTGGTCAGGCCTGAGCGGGTGCGGACACGGGGCAGAGGCGGGCTTGGCCTTTGCCCTCTGGGGTTTTCACCTTTAGGGACTTCCTGACAGACAGGCTCCCTCTGTCTCCTGCTTTGGCAGCTCAAGTGGGAAAGGCTCTCCCTGGCCAACCAGACAAGACGTCTGGGAAACAGGGCAGGTGGGGCCTGAGGTGGGGGACATACACTGCGTCCCTTCTGCCAGAGACCTGTCGCCGGATCCCAGACAAGAGAAGGCACAGAGCAAAGGCCTGCGGGACTTGGGAGCCAGGAGCTGCTTCTGACCCTGACCCACCACAGGTCTCTGCCATGCATCACAGGTCCTCAAGAGTTTTTCCGAGGTCATCCTTTCCACTCCCCTGTCTCCATGAGCAAGTCCCAAACCACCCCTGTGGCTTCCCTCCACCCGAAAGCGTCACTGCCTAGCCTCGTCCAGAGGCCTGCGGACCTTCACCCATGGAGGTCTTGTTCCCCCCGCCCAGCCCTCCCAGTGGAAGGGCCAGGGGCGGAAGCACAGCAGGACGCACCCCCAGCTGTGGGCTGGCTTCTCCTCAGATAAGCAGGGAGGAGCTGCTGCCCAGAAACCAGGCCTGCAGGGCGCGGGCCACTTCTCCTTTTAAGGCAGCATCTGCGTCCTCAGCCCCAGCCCCACTCATTCCTGACTGTTTGGAGGAAATGATGATTAATCAACACCCACTGCCCCCCCCTTGCCTGTTTTTCATTAGGTTCTTTTTAAAGGGCTGGCGCACCCCCTCTGGAGCAGACACGCAGCAGGTCCCAACCCACGAGGTGTGGGGGATCCCGTGAAGACAGAGAGAAGGGAGAGGGAGGGCCAGAACGCGGACGTGCTGGGGGCGGGCATGGGCACCAGGAGGCAGGCTCACCCCTGCCAGCAGCGGGGATGTGGGGCTTTGCCCCCCACCCCCTGGGAAAGGTCAGAAGTTACATCGAATTGGGGGCCACAAGTGAGACAGGCTGCAGCCTGGGTTCTCCCAAACACGGGGTGAAGCCAGCCAAGCTATCTCTCTGGATCCCCAGGCCCCCCTAGGCGAGGCCTGTGAGCACTGTGGGAACTCTGGGGGTAGCAGGCAGCAAGGCTGCCCATCTGGGGGCCTCACTTCCGTCTGGGGCCAAGGGCCCCGGACCCAGCCTCAGCCCAGCTCTTCGAGTGGACAGCATCCGTGATGGAGCCACTCTGAACCTGGGGGTAGAGGGGCTACCTGGCCACCTGTAGGTGGGTGGTCTGAGCATCCTACAAGGGCTGACCGCAGACACCACCTACACACACACCAGGCCCCTCACCTGCCTTGTATTTGCAAGCTTCTCTCCCCCTTTTTGAATCAAGGCACAGTCACACCTGTCCTGCCCAGGCTGAAGCTGCTCTAAAGGGTCACCTGGTTCTGGGAGCCCAAGAATGAGTGGGGGGGTGGGGGGGTCAGGCCGTGCGGTGACCCAGGCCTGTGGGGCAGGAGGGAGGGTGCATTCCAAGGCTGTGGCTCACCAGGCCCCGTGCCCTGCAGAGGAGCCAAGGATGTCGGCTGCTAAATACACCCCAGGCCAGTCCCCGAGGGCTGTGCTCCCGGCCCAAGCACACACTGTTTCCAAAGGACTGAGCAGCACTCCAGTTCCCCCCGGGGGCGTGGTGGAGTGGGGAGGCTCAGAAGGCCGTGTTGGGCTTCTGGCCCCTCCGCCGCTCCTAGAGACAGCACACCTCCCAGCAGTCAGGCCGTCATCCCCCTGCTAAGGGCACGCGGCATCCAGGCTGCCAGCTGCTCTGGAGTCGATCACACTTGAACAGTAAACCTAATAATTCATCCTCGGCAACTCAGCTGCTCCCATGGCTCTCAGAATAAGGTGTTGACTTCACGCCCCAGCCTCCAGCTCAGCGCAGCAGCCCCCCAACGCCGACCATCTCAGCAGGACCCGGTGGATCCCAGGCTCCTCACAGACAGTGGTGGTCCTTAGCGAAGTGCTTACTGGGAAAAGAAGGGAAATAATGTGGGCTTCTCAAAAAGTCACATATACGTGATATAAAGGAACATCCCATATTGTTACCATCAGGCCACAGTCTTCAGATTATAAATAACCAACCTCTGAAAACTTTGCGACGTCTACACAATTTTTTTTTTTTTTAAGATGCCATATGCACTTGGTTTGCTTTTAAAATAATTAAGTAAAAACTTAATAAGGTCCCTTGGAGAAGGAAATGGCAACCCACTCCAGTACTCTTGCCTGGAAAATCCCATGGTTGGAGGAGACTGGTGGGCTACAGTCCATGGAGTCACAAAGAGTCAGACAGGACTGAGCAACTTCACTTTCTCTTCATAAGGCAGCTGGTTCAGGAGGTTAGCTTCCTTCAGGTAGGATGCTGGTCATGACAGATTTGATTTTCTATGGATTCTGTTGTCTTGGGCACTGCCAGGTAGGTGGTTTGTCGTTTGAGGTCACACTTTGAATCCACACTTGTGGCGTTTTCTGCAGCTCGTCTGGGTCAGCGTGAGGGGTGCTGGGCTCTACCTGGGGGGGCTGTCCCCTTGAGCCCCATGGATGGACTGGCTGTCCCTGTTTTCCACTCTGGATTCCTGCAGGCATCTCCTGATGAAGGAGCTTCACGATAGCTCTGGTGGAAATTTCTAAACAATAAAATATATGTCTCAAATGGAAAACAAACAAAAACAGGACCTGGGAACCAGGGTCTTAGAATGCACCCCTTCCCTCCTCCTGCCCCCAGGCCCGGGTTGGCCACACTGCTAGGGACGCGTGGGGACTGTGGGGTGTAGAGCCCCTCTCCCCTCTCTCTAGCGCCCAGAGCCGGGTGACCCTGCAGAGCGCCTTCCAGGGCTGAGACAGGAGGGGTGGCGGCCATGCCTTGACTCAAAAGGGAGAGAGGTGCTCGAAAATACATGCTTCTTTATTGTTGGCTTCTTATTTCTGTGAGATGAGGATGGTAGGCAGGATCTGTAAATATTCCTAAGTGAGAAAATAAAGTGTGATCTGGCCTTTGTTGCTCTCTCCAACCATTTTTTCCTTTGGAAAGGTCTTGGCTGTAAAGCCCCAGGACCTGAGACTCACTTGACCTCCTGGGAGCCGGGCAAGGCCCCGGGGCTCCTGCCCAGAGCACAGGAAGCAAGGGTGCTTATAAACCCAGAGATCAAGACAACCGATGCATGAATGAGTACTGTAAAAAATCAAATGTCGTGCAAAAAAACCCCAAGACAGACAAAAATGTAAAATCTCAAAGAAAGACAGCAGCAGCCTTGGGGATGTTCCCCTTTGCCTCAGGTTCCAGCAAGGCCGAGCAGGTTCCCTGTCCCAGCTGCCCGAGACAGAGAGGGTGGCTCTGGGCCTGAGGTCTGGGGAGGAGGGCTGCGGACCCCAGGGTTCCCTCCGGGGCCTCAGTAGCTGGCGTTCTGAGTCCTATGTCAGCGGGGGCTCCGCATGCGACCCCAGCCCCACACGGCGCTGTCAGTGGAGACTGTCCGAGTGGTCCCCACGCTGTCCCTGGGCTCCATCCTCTCTCTCTGCAGCCAGGTCCTCATGTTTATTTTTCTTTTCTGCATTCTTAGGAGGGCAAGCAAGTGGAGACCAAGACAGATGCAAAAAAGGGAGAAGACAAGGGCAGAGATGCTGGCAAGAAGCCCCTGGGCCCCAGACGGGACTCAGACCTGGGGAAGGAGCCGAAGAAGGGTGGCGTGAAGAAAAGTGTCTCGAGGGACAAGGACGAAGCTGACGGCAGGAGTGCAGAGAGGCCCAAGGAGGAAAAGCTCATCAGGGGCCTGGAGAAGGGCCGGGTCAGGGCTGTGGTGGACAAGAAGGAGGCCGGGAAGGAGGGGCCGGCCGCCCCCCGGAAGGATGAGGAGAAGCAGAGGAGTGTGAGCAGAGACAAGGGCAAGAAGGGCGAGCAGCCCGATGCGGCGAGCAAGACAGCGGCGCCCGAGAAGGCCAAGGGGCCGCGGACGGGTGAGGATGCCCGGGCGGAGGCCCAGGAGCCGAAGGGGGGATGCGGGGACAGGGTTGCCAGGTCGGAGGATGAGAAGGCCAAGAAGGAGGAGCCCCGCGAGGCAAAGGCCCCCCGAGAAGACAGCAAGACCCCAGCGCCAGAGAAACCCGCCCCTGGTGCCCCCGCGAAGCCTGCGGACGGGCCCGCCAAGGCCGAGGAGGAGGCGGCCCCCAGCATCTTCGACGAGCCCCTGGAGAGGGTGAAGAGTAACGACCCAGAGGTGACGGAGGTGAACGTCAACAACTCGGACTGCATCACCACCGAGATCCTGGTGCGCTTTGCTGAAGCGCTGGAGTTCAACACGGCCGTCAAGGTCTTCGCCCTGGCCAACACGCGGGCAGATGACCACGTGGCCTTTGCCATCGCCATCATGCTCAAGGCCAACAAGACCATCACCAGCCTGAACCTGGACTCCAACCACATCACCAGCAAAGGCATCCTGGCCATCTTCCGGGCCCTGCTGCAGAACAGCTCTCTGACCGAGCTCCGCTTCCACAATCAGCGCCACATCTGTGGCGGCAAGACCGAGATGGAGATGGCCAAGCTGCTCAAGGAGAACACCACGCTGCTCAAGCTGGGCTACCACTTTGAGCTGGCCGGGCCTCGCATGACCGTCACCAACCTGCTCAGCCGAAACATGGACCGGCAGCGGCAGAAACGGCTGCAGGAGCAGCGGCAGGCGCAGGAGGCCCAGGCGGGGAAGGCGCTGCTGGAGGTGCCCCAGGCCCGGCCCCCTGCCCGGGGCTCCCCCAGGCCCTCCCTGCAGCCACCCCCCAAGGCTGCTCCTAAGAACTCGCCAGGCAAAGGGGGTGCCATGGCTGCACCCCCCCCACCACCGCCGCCCCTGGCGCCCCCGCTCGTCATGGAGAACCTGAGGAACTCACTGTCCCCGGCCACCCAGCGGAAAATGGGCGACAAGGCCCTCCCCGCCCAGGAGAAGAACTCCCGGGACCAGCTGCTGGCGGCCATCCGCTCCAGCAACCTCAAGCAGCTCAAGAAGGTGGGCACTGGGCCCGGCCGCGGGGCCAGGCTGAGGGGTGGGCCTGCACCTCCTCCAGGGCATCTGTCAGTCCTCACAGGAGCTTCCTGTAGCCATTCCCTCTGTTTCTTCCGGAAGAGAAGCAGCACCTTCAGACCCTTCCTCCAAGTCCCCACTCCCCCCACCCCCACCCCCCCACCCCCGCACCGTTCCCCAGGCCCACACGGCCTTTGTTTTCCTAATACCCTCTTAGAACCAGTCAGGCCCTAGGGGGCAGGTTACCCCAAAGGTCAGTCCCTCCCTGGAGAGCCAGCTTCTCAAAGCTCAGCCCCGCGGGTGGCAGAGTCGGGGTCCTCCACCAGGCTGACCCCGCCCCTCCCGACCAGGTCCCTCCTGAGACACAGTGCAACCTTGACTGTCCCCCCAGTCACTGAACAGCATCAAGTTTTTACAGAAAAGGGAAAGGGCCTCCTCTGCACACAGCTCCTCTGAGAGCCCAGGAGGAGAGGAGGGCGAGGCATTCCAGGGCCCCCCAGGCCCCCTCCTCTAAGCCGTCTGCTCTGCCCCGACAGGTGGAGGTGCCCAAGCTGCTGCAGTAGGACCGGGCTGCAGGCGCCGCCCGCCACGCCACGCCTGTCCAGGCCCCGCTTCCCAGGGCCGCACGGACCCCGCCCGCCACGCCAGCTGCCCTGCTCTGGACATCCCTGCCCTGCACTGGGGGAGCTGGAGGCCGCGGCCACTCCACGAAGGGTACCTTCTCCCCTCACTTCTTTCTTGTCTCTGACGCTCTCCACCACTGTCTCATCCCTGGAACTGGCGGTTCTGGACGAGAAGAGTCCTACTAGCACGTGACAGAGAAGACGGCACCCCTGGAGCCTGAGTGGCCGGCCAGCTGCCAAAGGCCTAGGAGCCGGGAAGGGGCTCCTTCATGGGTCATGCGACTTGTGGGCCCACTGCCCCCAGTGCCAGGATTCAGGCCTCTGAGGAGCCCTGGGGGCAAGGCCGCTGGGCTGGTGGCTCCCTGTGTGGGGCAAGGCTGTTAGACTGGAGGGCCAAGGGCCAGGGGGAGAGGGCGGAGGGGCTGCGGACACCCCAAACCCCTCCCTGCTAAGCAGAGGACTTGAGGGGCCTGGCCTGGTGGGGGGTGGGCTGCGGCGGGGAAGAGAGAACAGACAGCCGCTGGACCTGAAGGGTGGATGCCAAAGCAGACGTTCCCTCACATTCACCTGCTGCTGTACAGACAGCCGATCTGTCCTCCGTGAGATTTTATAATATATACGAGCCTTCAGCTCTGAGTGGCCGTGCCCACCTGGGTGCTGTCCCCAGGGTCCTGACGCTCACTCCCGCTCCGGAAACGCAGGTTCCCGGCCCTGCCAAGCCGTCCACACCAGAGCTCCTCGCAGGGGCCGGCCTCAGTCAGGGGGTGCTGCCCGGGGTCCCTGGTTGCAGCGCCGAGGCGGGCGACAGAGCCAGGACCTCGATGGCCACATGAGGCGAGCGGTCCGCGCCACTCCGCGCCCCTCGGTGCGGGCTGGGGGCCGGCGCCTCGAGCAGCCCCGGTCAGGAGGGCCGGGGGTGAAGTGACCGCGGGGCAGTGTCCAGAGGGTGTGCCCCCTGGCCTGCCTCCCACTGCCCAGACGCCAAGGGCGTCTCTCGGCTTTGGAGCCGTGCCGGGCCCGGGGCCCCGTTCCCCGCGTCCACCACGCGCCTGACCCCAGGAGCCCAGCCAGGGCCTGAGGCGACGCCTGCACGCGGTCCCCGCCCCCGCCCCCGCCCGCCTGTCCGTGAGGCGGACCGACGGCGGACACGGCAGGGCTGGAGTTGGACTCCCACCCGACCACACTGCCCCGCGCCGCGCCCAGGGCCTCGAGCCCCCGCGGGGCCGCCGCTTCAGGGCGCGACGCTTCCGAGGGGACGACCCCTCACGCTGTGCCTGGGTGTGGGGCTAGGCCCCGCCCTCCGCCTGCTCTCCCGCCTACGTCATCCCCCGCCCCTTCCACGCCCCCCGCAGGCGGATGACGTCCCCGTCACATACCCTCCCCCACGTCCCCCTACCCCTGCGGCCCCCGCAGGTCGACGACGTCACCCTCCCCGCCCCGTCCCCTCCCCGCGCAGGGCGATGGCATCCCCCTCCCCCCGCAGGTTGATGACGTCACCCTCCCCCGTTCCTCCCCCTCCCCCTCGAAGGCCGATGACGTCCCCCTCCTCGGGCGGCGGCGCGGCGCCCCCTGGCGGAAACGCGGCCCGGCCTCGCGCGGCTCGTGCAAGGAGGGCGGGCGGCTGCACCCGGCGCGGCCCACCCCGAGGAAGGCCGGGGTGGCGGCGGGGGCCGCCCTGGGATCAGCTGGGTTGAGGGTAGGGGTGGCTAGGCGGGGCCGAAGCCCTAGCTGATGGGTCCGGATACAGACCTGGGCCGGGGTCCCCAGCCGCCGCACCTTCTCCGCACCCCGCCCGGGGGCCCGCGGAGCCCCAGGCCCGGCCCGCCCGCGGGAAGAGCGCCCGGACAGGGGCGGTGTGTACGGGCCCGGGGGTTCCGGGCTGCAGGGTCCCTCGGCCCGCTCGCTGTGGCCGGGCCTGGGGCCCAAGGCCGCTCAGGCGGCTCCTCTAAGAGGCGAGAGATCCGCACGCGGGTCACCCACCAGGACCACTCTGCCTGGGGAGCCAAGTCAGGGCGGCCGGCTGGGGAGGTGGGAGAAGGGGAGGCGCCGCCCGCCCCACCGGGCACACCCTTCTTCCGGCCTCCCCTGCTCCCTGCTCTGCCCACCCGGCTCTCAGCCTCCTCCTCCCGCTCCTGACCGCGCCAGCCCCCGTTCTCCGCTTTCTTGCTAACCCCTGGCTCTCGACCCTGACTGTACGTCCAGGCACCTGGGCCCTACTCCCTCCCTGCCGTCCTCTTCTGGACTTAGGCTTCCCAGCACCGCAGGCCTCGCTGACCCCAGGATGCGGGCCACTGGACTTTGTGTAACACACTCCCCCTCCCACCTCCGCTTCCCAGAGCCACCCCCCCACCCCCAGCATCCTGCTGCTTCCTCTGAGCTGAGCAGGACCCCCGCTTATACCACTGCTGACCCAACCCCCGAGGGTCACGGCTCCTTCCACCCAACACCACCTTGTAGGGCGACTGCCAGTTTTCAGGGGTGCTAGGGGGAGCAGCTGTGCTTGGTCCCCAGGTGAGAGGTTGGGTCTCAGGAGACCAGGGCGTTGCCCTGTTTACCAGCTAGACAACGTGAGGGGCCTCCTCTCTGCTGCCACCACATGAAAGCTCCACTCCTGTATGGTTTCCCCCTTTTTTCTTGAAATTCTCTTTTTTTGCCGTGCTTTGCAGTTAATTGATTGGAAATGTTGGAGGGAGGGGGTGGGGGGCTCTGATTGGGATAAATAGCCTCCCATCCTAGACTATGGAGCAATTTCTAATTGGCCCCAGGCTGCTGACTTAAGGAAGCTCATTCTGGCTGGCATGGCCCTGCATTCATTAACATCTCATCTTTCAGGGAAATGCAGAAATCTTGTCCTGCAAACCTCCACCTCCCAGCTTCAGGACAGAGAGAGGGGCTGTCCAAACCTTGGGATGACCTGGTGACCCCTCTCCCAGCATGCTGGCAGAAGCTGTGGCCTGGAAGCCAGGACACCTGCGGCCCACCTCTCATCCCCCTCCCCGGGAAAGGTGGACTGGCAGCACAAGCTTCCCCGCCACCCAGGTCTGGTCCTGGCCCCAAAGCAGCCGGCCCAGAGTTCCCCCGCCCTTACCATGAGAAGAGAGCCTCCAGTGGGCCCTGGGCGCGGCCAGCACAAGGGCCTGACCGTCCAGACCAGGCCGCGGCACCCTGAGGCCTAGGAAATCAAGGAGCCAGCAGGTTGCAGTGGGGCTGGAGGACGCGCAGCTGGAGGGAGGGGGACTGACAGTGGGCTTGGGAGGGGGTCAGGGGCTTTCCAAGCTGACTTGGTGCTTTCCCTGCGTGAATTAAAGTCTATCAAGTTTCCTTTCCTGGATCTGTCATCAGGCCAGGGAGCGGGAGGGGACCGGCCCGACACAGGAGAGGCACTGAAGTGGGCCTGGGGGGGGGTCTCATGTATTGGGCGCCCTTGATGCTCTGAGGTCGCTGACAGCACCTGCCCAGCCAGGCTCCTCTCAGCTGCTGGTCCAGGGAAGGCCCTCTGACGAGGAAGGGCAGCCCCAACAAGCTTCCCGTACCCCTGAAGCAGCGCCCCCATTCTATAGATGAGGAAGCGGAGACCCGGCGACCTTGGGAAACACACACCTAGGTCAGTCGGTGGGGGACAAGCGCGAGTCCAAGTGTCTCAGACGGGGGGAGGGAGATGCCTCCCATGCCGGACCCACGTGTGGAATCTGGGACCCTGAGGACCCGTCTCCCCGTGGGGGCAAGATCTGCCTCCCCAGCTCTGGCAGCCTGGCAACCCTCAGCCAGGGCTTCTGCCTGTGCTCGGGCACCGGCCCTGCCCTCCCCTGCGGAGCCAGGAGGTGTGGACAGCCCAGCGACGCGGCCAGCAGGAGTTACGTCACCACAGCTTTAATCCCCCGGAGTGCGGCCTGCGGAGCGGCCAGGGGGGCTTCTGCCCACGGCTGGTGGAGCCTCCCCAGCCCCCAGTCCACGGCAGACAAACAGGAGGGGCCCAGCCTTCCTGGCCTGGGGTCCTGGGAGGAGAAGGGCTGGAAGAAAGCAGGGGCCATGCAGGCTTTCCTGCCCTTCCCCCACCCCTGATAAAAATAGTCCGAGTGTCCCAGGCCCTCCCTACCCGCCCCTCAGTCACGGCCAAGTTCCAGCTCAGCTCCTGTTCCTCCTCCCTGGGGCTCCGTTCCCAGAAGGTCTCAGGGTGCGGCTGGGCCTGGGGCCTGGCGAGCAGATGCCCCTGCCCACCCCCGGGGCCGGGCAGAGGCTCAGTCTCCTGAGAGACGGCAGAGACGCAGCTGGCTCCTCAGGCTCCAGGGTAGGAGGGCTGGGGTGGCACGTACGGGGGAGGAGCTGTAAGCCAAGGAGACGAGGTAAGGATCAGGGTGGCACAGGAGGGCGCGACCCAGGCTGCAGGACCCCCAGGGCAGAGCAGGCAGGAGGAGGGGCCCACTCACCTGCAGGGTTGTAGACGGGGGGTCCCGCCGGGTAGAGTGGATACTGGGGTGCAGGACCGCTGGGTGGGTACATGAAGCCAGGCTGTGGGGGTGCAGGGCCGGCTTTGGGGTCCTGGGGGTATGGGTACACTGGCTGCACAGGGACGCCTGTCATGGGGATCTCCTGGCCTGGTTGGGGGACAAGGACCGGCACTCAGGGCACCGCCTCCTTGGGACGCCGCCCCCACCCCTCTGGCCCAGGGGTCCTGCTGCCTCTGCCCCCGGACCCTGTTTGGCGAGTCCAGCAGTGCGCCCAGAGGTGGCCTCTGCTGGTTGGTCTGGGCTCAGCGGCGTGCCCGGCCAGGGTTTCGGAGACCTCCTGGGCCAGACAGCACTGGCCTGGGGGGCGGCCTAGGCCATATCCTGGGCCAGCACATGGCCGCCCTGGCCTAGCAGAGCTGTCCCTGAGGAGTCCTCCCACACTGACCCCGACACGGGGTCACCGTTCCCACACCCACCAGGCCTGGGCCTGTGTGCAGGCACACGTCTTTTGCACATGGAGTGCACTCGATGTTGCAAGTGCTCCGGGCCCAGTCCATGCGTTTCCTGAGAGCCACATGCACACGCACGGCACACAGTGCAGGTACATCCATGTACCGAGGGTTCACACGTGTCCCTGCGCTCTGGCTTCTGGGGTGACAGGCGGGCAGGTGTGTCCAGAGGGGCCTGCAGCTGCCAACCACACCTCCTGACCTCTGATGCCCTCCGAGGGCACCCCCGCCACTTCCCGCGTGGACAGATGGACGGACGCACCTTCAAACGGGCTCTGCAGCTGCTGGCGCCGGCGGTAGAGGTAGCAGCAGGAGCAGAGGAAGCAGCAGATGGTGGTGGCGACCACGGCCACAAAGAGGATCACGGCCGAGGCGATGCCCGCTATGGTCTTGGGACTTGGACAAAGAACAGGTCTCCTCACCTTCCAGCCTCACGCGGGGAGTCCTCACCATGCTGACCGCCACGCTGGCTTCGACCCCCGGCCAGAGAGACACCGGGCTCTGCCCGCCCTGCTGGGGAGAGCTTCGGGACCGCGCTTCCCCGAGGGCAGGGCGGCCTCCTGAGCAGCAGCCTCCCCGGAGGGGCCGCGGTGCGCACCCAAGCCCACGACTGAGCAGGCCTGGCGGGCAGAGCTCGCCTCTCAAACGGACTCCAACACAGGCCTGGCGGGCAGAGCTCGCCTCTCAAACGGACTCCAACACAGGCCTGGCGGGCAGAGCTCGCCTCTCAAACGGACTCCAACACAGGCCTGGCGGGCAGAGCTCGCCTCTCAAACGGTGCTGTGTCTTGGCCACCGCCTCCCCATGCGTGCTCTCTCAGCGCTCCCTCCTCGCAAAGCAAGTTTGAGAGCCCCTTTTGTGCGCCCCCTTCATGCCACCTTGGGACCTGTCGTCCCCAAGATCACACAGCTGGTGAGCGGCGGACTGGGGATCCTACCAGTCCGGCCAGAGGCCAGAGCGCCGCTGGGCCTGGGGCTGCCCCTGCCCCCGCCCTGCGCAGGCCCGGGGCGGGGGAGGGCCGGGCCCAGCCCGCGATGACCACATGACGGTGGCCGGCCGGCCCCTCCTGGAGCTCCAGCCCCGCTTCGGGCCCAGGCAGGGTGTGGGCTGAGAGCGCGGAGCGGGGTGGGGGGGGGGGAGGGGAGGGCCGGCGCCCACCTGAAGGCCAGGCAGTGCTTCTGCTGCCTCTCGGTGATGAGCAGGCTCAGGTCCCGGCAACAGTACCGCTGGTAGCAGGTCCCGCAGCAGAAGGTGAAGAACTCACAGTTGAAGCCCGGATGCCAGGAGCCATTCCGGTCCAAGTACCACAGGCAGTCCTCGCCAGCCAGAGCTGCGGGCAGCGGCGGAGGTGCCCAGTGGCCACTGGGCCGGGTCTCGGGCCGCCACAGCCCCACTCCACTGCCCGGAGCTCCACCCTGGTCCCTGCGCCTGGACACCTCGGCCTCGACCCCCAGGGTTGGGGCCCCCTATCCAGCCCCCGCGCCCTCTCGCCTCCCCTCCCACGGACCCCGAAACGCCCAGGCTCTGCCGGGATCTCCCGGGCGCCCCCGGGAACGCGCCCCGCGCCCCCCCGCCGCGCCCCGCGCCCCCGGCCCTTACCCAGGGGCGCCCCCAGCACCAGGAGCGCGACCGCGGCGAGCGGCGCGGCCCCGCGGAGCCCGGCTGGCGGCATGGCGCGGCGCGGCGAGCGGCGCGGGCGCGGGGCGCACAGGACGACGCCGCCGCCACCCAGCTCCGCGGGCCAGCGCGCCCGCCGGCTCCTCTCCGCCTGCTCGGGGCGGGGCTCGCCGGCCTGCGCCGACCCTGCCCCTGCGCCCCGCCCGCCTGGCTCCGCCCCGGCCACGCCCCTCGCGGGGTCCGCGTCCGAGCCGCCCCCGCGGCCCACCCCGCGCAGGCGGGCCGCTGGGCCCCACTCGGCCCGCTCGCTGCCTCGCCCGTCGGCGTCCCCGCCCGCAGAAGCCCTGCTCCTGATGCCACTTCCAAGCGCTCAGGCGCAGGGGCCACCCCTGACGCAGGACCTCCTCTGCCCAGCGTCCAGCAGGACGTCCTGCGGCGGTGGCGGGGAGGAGACGGGGGGCCGGGAGTCACCCCGCCCCCACCCCAGAACACAGGCGCCCATTGAGAGGCCGCTCAGAGCAGCTTTGTCCCCGCAGGCCCGCAGACTTGGACCCTGTAAGCTGCGCTGGCTCCCTGAGTGCCCCTTCCCCCTCCGAGTGGCCAGCGCGGACTTGTGCCAGCCTAGGGCCTCCCAGGAGGGATGGCAGGCCTCGGGGGCCGCCTGGGCCCATCCAGTCGGATGCCCTTGGCAGTGGAAACCCCTTTCTCCGGAGAGCGACCCCACAGAGAGACTGCGGTGGGGCAGAGCATAGGGTGGCCCCCCAGGGGGCATAGTCTCCTTGCAAGTCTGTCAGTGGCTGTGCCTCTGCTCTGGGGGCACCTGATCGGGAATGTGCAGGGGCCTAAGCTGGGGAGAAAACCCAAAGCCCCCTTAGCCCCACTGTGTGTGGCCCTCAGGGTGCTCGGACAGACTCCTCCTTTGGGGCTCCCCAGAACCCCATGAGCTAAATCAAGCTCACTGGTGTTATCAGTTCATTTTATAGACATAAGCTGGGACTCAGGGGAGTTCAAGGATTTGTTCAGGTAATAGAGCCCATAAGTGGGAGAGGCACTCTCAATCCAAGTGTCTTCACCTTCTGAATGGGTGAAGGTGTCTGCAAATGGTATATCCTGTAAGGGTTAATGTCCAAAATATACAAGGAACTCAGACGACTCAACATCAAAACAAACAAACAAACAAAAACACCCACAGAAGACTTGACTAGACATTTTCCCAAAGATGGACAACAGGCACATGAAGAGATGCTCAGCATCATGGACCATCAGGGAAATGCAATTCAAAACCGCAATGAGGTGTCACCTCACACCTGTCGGAATGACTGTCTTCAAAGAGACAACAAACAGCAGCTTGGTGAGGATGCAGAGAAAAGGGTCACACCCTGGAGCATTGTTAGTGGGGGTATGAATTGGTGTGGGCACTGGAAAACAGTACGGAGGTGACAAAAAAGAATTACCATACATTTCGGCAATCCCACTCCTGGATATTTACCTGAATTCAAATTCACTAATTTTGAAAGACATATTTCAAAAGAAATTTCCACTCACTGCAGCATCATTCACAGTAGTCAAGATATGGAAGCAACCCAAGTGTCCATCAACAGATGAATGGATAAAGAAGTGTAGGGATATGTAATGGAATGCTACAAAGCCATAAAAACGACTTCCATAGTGGTCCAGTTGTTTAGACTCTGTACTCCCAATGCAGGAGGCCCAGGTTCCATCCCTAGTCAGGGAATTAGGTCCCAGGTGCTGCAACTAACTAAATAAATACTTTTTAAAGAGAACAAAATGTTGCCATTTCCAACAGTAGGCTGGACCTGAACGGTATTATCCAAAGTTAAACCAGTCAGAGAAAAACCAGTAGTGTAGGATATCACACATGTGGAATCTAGAAAAACAAAAACAAAAAAACCCAAAGGAGCAAACATAAAACAGAAATAGAGTTGTAGACACAGAGAACCAACAGGTGGTTAGCAGAGGTGACAGACCCGCATGGAAGCTGTGGAAGGGTGCGAACTGCCAGTCACACTGGTGTGCAGCATGCTCAGTATAATGGACCCAGTGGCAAGTCAGAGAGAGAAGTCGGCAACAGAGCAAGGTCTGGGGCTCCATGGTGCTCAGTGGTAGGGAACCCACCTGCCAGTGCCGGAGACACGGGTTCAAGCCCTGGCCCGGGAAGACCCCACACACAGCGGAGCAACGAAGCCCGTGCACGGACTGCTGAGCCCCAGAGCCCACGCTCTGCAGCAGGAGGAGCCACTGCAGTGAGGGCCTGAGCTCAACAACTAGCGCGTCGCCCCGCTCTCCCGAACCAGAGAAAAGTCTGCACAGCAATGACGACCCAGCACAGCCAAGAATAAATCTTAAACAGAGTGAAGTCTCGAGTGCCCATCACGAGGCTCTGTCAGTCCCGGGCTCCCACCCCCAGCAGCAGATGGCGAGTGTATCCAACATCAAGGCATGGAGGCCCAGCAGAACCTGAACAGGCTGGAAGAGTGGCGGGGGCAGGCGCGGCCCTGTCCTGGCCCCACAGGTGCTGGCACCCCCCAGGAGAGCAGAGGCCAGGAGAGGGTCTGCTCCCGCCCAGGACGTGGCTGCTTGTCTGATGCGGGCCAGGGGAGCGGACGTCTGTCCTGACGGAGGACGAAGCCATAAATGCCGCAGAGACGAACGGACACAGAGAGCCCCTGGCTTCCCACACCCAGCAGCACGTCCGCGCCTCAGGCACGTACTCCATGAGGGCAGGGACCATGTGGCCCTGTGCTCCCTGCCGTCCCCAGCCCTCACTGCTGGGGCCCGACTGGCAGATGGGGGGCTATCTCTTCCTTCCCGGGTGGACATGCCCACCTGAGCCCAGAGCCTGTCTGACGGGGGTCCTTTCCAGCATCCCTTCTCTCTGTGCCTTTGGTTCCTCTTTCCTTAGGAAACAAAAACTCAAGTCTCTCCTATTAAAATGAAACAGAACAAAACAAAGCAAAAACACAACCACGTTTCCCAAAACCCCTCCCTTTCTAGCTGTGTGTCTCTTTTTCACCCTTTTTTTCCCACCTAGTTCTCAAAACTTACATGCCTGGTTCCAGCTCACCAGGACAGCAGTGATTTCCTAATTGCAAAATTCTAGGAAAACTTCTCAGCGCAGATGATGGGAGGTGATCGGACAGGTCAGAGGGGAGAACATGGTGGGGGTGGGGGTGGGGTTGCTTTTCAGCCCGGGGTGGGGGGGGGGGGCTGGAGCCTGGAGCCTGCGCCTCCATGCTGAGCTGGGCCCTGGGCTGGGGGAGAGGGAGGAGGAGGCTTGGGCAGGAAGGCTGGGGACCGGGGAGGGGGTTGTACAGGCATGCAGGTCTGGAGGGGCTTCCCCGCACCTTCTGCGGGCGGACACACAGCAGCATCCTCACCTCCCCCAGTGGGTCTCCCGGCCCCGGGGGTGGCCAGGCCCGTGCCTGGACCAGAGAGGACGGGGTGTGGAGGGTGATGACACCGGTGATTCCGCAGGTGAGCGTGTCCCGGCGTACCCATGAGGACGCCGGTGCTGGAAGAACTTAATTTGCCCCGTTCCCAGGCTGGGGTTCGGAGTTGGATTTCTGTGACTTCAAAACCCAAGCCGGTCCACTCGTCCTTCTGCCTCTCCCAGATCAGGTCTGAATTGCTCTGAGCCGGGCCTGGCGTGTGGGGCACGTCTGTGGGCAGACCTCGGGGTGGGAAACCCAGCCAGCAGGGGCGGGAGGAGCGGGACCATGACCCAGTTTGGGCCTGGCCCGGGGCTTCAGCCTCAGCATCTGCTGAGTCATCCCGCAGCCGGACTGAGTGGCCGGCTGGGCCTCCTCCCCACCCGCCTGACCCGCTTCTTCAGGTCAGGGCAGACAGAATGGCATCCCTGGGGGCCCCGGGCCCTGGGGCGTCCACCTCTCCTCTTCAGGAGAGCCCTGTGGATACCCCCTCCCCCGTGGGCCTCTGTCCACCGAGCTCCTGCAGAGAACTACACGTTTTCCTCTGATACAGTCTCATTGCACCAAAGGAACAGGCGCTCACTAGCCCAAAATAAACACACGTTTCTCCTTCATCAGGAGGCTCTCCTGGTGTCCAGCGTGACTCGTGCTTGCTGTGGACAGAAGGTTATCCCTGGGTCAGTCCTCGGAGGCGGGGGGCGTGGGGGCAGCCTGGCAGGAAGGGCACCGAGTCTCTGTGGGGCCCGGGGGGTCTGGGCTGAACCCCGGCAGCCTCAGGCCATGGTGGGGCAGCCGCTGGCCAGCCCTAGGTGGCTGTGGGGGCTGCCTGCCGGGGGGCCGGGGGGGCCAGGTCACCTTCAGGTGGCACTGTCCTGGGTCCGCGGCTGGGCTGATGAGCGCTGTTTTGGGGCCGAGGGGAGGAGACCAGGAGGCTCTGTTCATGGCAATTCTGTCTGTGCCCACTCTCTCTCCTGGGAGGTTTGCGGACACAAGCATCCGCCCGCACTGACCCTTCTCACCGAGCTCTATTTTCAGCCGAGTCCCGCCTGAGCCCTCTGCAAGGTGGGTATGGTGGTCGTCCTTGCGAGTCTGGCCATGTAGGGCCGGGCTTGGGTGCTGTGGCTGGCGGTGCACTGGGGGCCAGGCTCATCACCGCCCCACGCCACCGGGCACGGGGCGGCCATGTCGGAGTCCGTGCCCCCCGCGCACGGCTCCCCAGGATGGACTGGTCACGTCCGCTCACCCTACGTGGCCGTGGGGGTGGAGGTCCTGGCCGGGATGCAGGGGGGAGCCTACTCGGAACCTCTGGCCAGGGCAGAGGAGCCCGACCCGCCCCTCGGGCCTCAGCTTCCAAACTTGTAAGCGCAGGGGGTTCAGTCGGACCCCCCACAACTACAGGTCAGCCGGCTGGGGGGCTCTGGTCCTCTCTCTGCGTGTCCAGTGGGAGATTTGTGGGAGGGCCCTGGCAGGGCCTCGGTGGACCGGCCTCCTGCCCAGCGGGTGAGCCCAAGGTCAGGAAGGGAAGCCAGGCTGAGGAGGGACGCGGCCACAAATCCGGGGGCAAGGAACGCCACACCTCTTTCCCTTCCGTCACCTCAGGTCAGAC